CTGTTTCAAATGTTTGTTTCATGCCAAAAAGTATTAAACGGTAAAATTTGTAGTTCAATGTTTAGATTTATGTGTGACGTATAAAACTTCCTCAATCATTTTATTAATGCCAACGCATAAACCGATTCTAAAAATATGAACACAATACGACTGTAAGAAATGATGTCTTTTACAAATTTCCAGGAATGAAATATTTTAAAACAGAAATGAGCCCTAACATATCTTAAACGCATTACTGTAAGTAAGACAACTTTCATAGATACAGCATTTGAATTCGATATTGATATGCTTGTAATATACGAATTTAACCATGACGTTTGAAATACAACAGGCATACTAATTCTTTGATACAGATAATAAATCATGTCATCCAAATCATCATCCCACCAAACATGCTCGCCCTTTCAGTCGTGAGGGCATCACGGTCAATTCCACTATTCGTTGGTAAAAGAGTAGCCCAAGAGTTGGCGGTGGGTGGTGATGACTATCTGCCTTCCATCTAGTCTTTCACTGCTAAGTTAGAGGTGGATAGCGCAGATAGCTCTCGTGTTGTTCAAAACGAACCAAACCGTTTGGAACTATGCCACCTCAGTGAAATTGGTTGACACCATTGTTTTAGTTTTTGAGTTATCATGTAATAAAAAAGAAGCAGAAGAAATTAAAACTTTTTGCTAGGATATTTACAGACATTCCCAGAATTTATTACTCAGTCATTACATAGGTATTTTTATACAAGAACAGTTCTAATGACCTATTGAGAATATATTTAAAACACCATTTCGATGAATAATCCAAGCCACCACTACATAGGCAGTGCTGCCACCTGCCTGATAGGGTAAAGTACATTACTGGTAATTATATTTCGTCATCATCCAAGTGTATCCAATAAGATACAGGATCTCAGTGATTCCTCGCGTTACCCAGCTGAGTCTCTTGTGTCTTTAGAAGCTTTCACACTTTGCTTTAGTTCTTTAATAAACCAATATAAATAAGTCAGTTTAGCTCACAACTAAATAAAGCGTTTTATATTACTCTGTTCTCAAAGACCAAGCGTTATAATAAATAGTGAATTAAAATGTCTTATTATTCGACAAGTACTGAATCTACAACAAATGTGCTTTACCACGTTTTGACAGCCCACTTTTATTGTGACAAATATATATATATATTTCTAGTTTCATTGTTTTACACCCATGATTTTTAACTTTAGTGAAAAGTTATTATCTATGAGGTTGTATTATTTTTGAATCATGACTTTTATAGGCATCAGTTATTAAGATCAAATTGGTCATGTTTTTTAGAGAAACCCTATTTTCATCTTCAAACTAACGTTAGAGTCTGAATTCCCAAATGTAATTACACATTCTGAAGCGCAACATTCTATAGTCGTGTAGCAGAATATACGCTCAAGCGATGAGGTGCACGATTATCACAAAAATTCCAATACACTCAAGTGAATAGTAACACTTGAGAATCGTATCTACCCAAACTAAATCTTAGCAATGAGATGGATAAGAACACTAGAAACAATGCATCGTTCTCTAAACACGTTTTTAAAAATTTCAGGACAAAACGGAAAGTGGCGTTTCAGATTAGTCTTCTACCGTTGAGCTAAAAATGGAGTTCAGAAAAAAAGAGGAAATGTATAAATATTTATGAGACAAAGTAATGTGAAAAAGGCGTGATTTCTAATATATCTAATACATATTATTAATAACTAGTAGTAATTTAAAAAATCATAATTCTAGTGTAAACGATGCTATACTTATCGCTTGAAGTTACTTTTTTTACAGAAATATGGCGTTTCTTTAAGAAGCTAAAATACACGGTGAAAAAGGAATTACCAGCCAATAATAGGTAAACAATAAATATTACAGTTGGAACCTCATTGTATTTAGAATAAGTACAACCTTCCTATGTCGATTGAAACACTGCATTAAAACAACAACAAGCAAACAAGTAAAGATAAATCTTTTCAAAAAAGGAAGTAAATGTAGGGATGGCTAATATCAATCCTTCAAAAACAATGCAAACAAGATAGTAGGGATGGCATTTGCATCATCCTTACATAGCAAAGGCAACAATTAACATATAGCAATATATATAACCAATCACATTCTACTGCACTCTGTGCCAATGCAAACGAGATAGTAGTGATGCAATCCCTACTATCTTGTTTACATTGTTGTGTTTTGAAGGACTGATATTATCTATCCTTACATTTATATCAATTTTTGAAATTTAGATTATAAATTGTAATGACATGTGAGCATTACAATGAAATATCAAACTTCTTGTCAAGCTTTATAGTTTCTCCAAATTTTATGAAACTTACCAAAATTCAGGAAATGTGATTTCTCGTTATCAAGTTCACATGCCCTTACAAATTCTAACTTTTTTCAATGTTTTTAGTAACCTTAGCGGGAGAAAGAACATTTCATTGTCAAAGATAGAAAATTATGACTTAACGCCCTTATAAATATCTTGATTAATGAGATAATAATCTTAAGTCATGGTTCAATTTATTTTCCACCTTTATAACAATGATAATAAAATGTTCAAAAAGTTAGGGCATAGAGATTTCACACCAGTAAGGCATAAATTTTAGGCTACAGGTCCAGATATAATAAATATATAAAAATATTCAGAACCATAAATAATTTTGTTTGTAGTAAATATTTAGCTAATCATTTAAAATACTGACACATACTTATGTTTTTTAAACGACGAGGAAAAGACCCCCTTTGGCATTAATGTATCTACATGGTTCCTAACATACCTTTAGCTTAAAGATGAAATTCGCACTCTACAAATGCAGAAAGAATTTGTAATGAAAGACGACACTATTGTTTCCTTTCTTCTACAATGAAAGACTGACACTATTGTACCCTCTCTTCTACAATCAATGAACGTCACTTACGTCTCCTCTTCTCTACAATAAAGAAAGAAATTATTCCTTCCTCTCTTCTACAATGAAAGGACGACATTAGTTTTCTCTCTTTTACAATGAAAGAACGACACTAATCTTTCCTCTGCTCTACAATGAAAGGACGACACTAATGTTTCTTCTCTTCTACAATGAAAAGACGACACTATTGTTTCCTCTCTTCTACAATGAAAGAAAGACACCAATGTTTCTTCTCTTCTACAATGAAAAGACGACACTATTGTTTCCTCTCTTCTACAATGAAAGA